TCATAAACAAATAAAGATTTTAGATCTGTTTAGCTGCTGATGGAAATGTTTGAAAGCATGAGAAAAAATCCGGAAATTTCAGTTCTTATTTACTTGAAATATATAAAAAAATTGCACTGTTTACTTTACATAGTACTTGTTGTTTCTAAGCAATTGTTGTGTACTTATGTTATTTCATGCGGTAAAACTAGACAATTATGTCAATATAATATTTATTTGCCGCAGTCATTGCTTCATGTGTTGACTCCTTATTCTGACAGAATATTTTTAGACAATGTGTCGTGTCAATCTTTCAAAGAAAAAGTTTTACGCTTATTCTTGTGTAGTTATTTTGTTTCCTTTTTCTGTTGGGCTATTGTTACCTTGAGAGAAACATTAAATAAAAACTTATGTGCAAGCTCTTTTTTTTTGAAGTATTGAAGTTTGGAGTTCAGTGGTTCTCACTTATTCCCCTTTACCTTTTCGCTTTCAGGAAGTGTCTCTTGGATGGAAACCTTTTGTAAGTCAAATATATCTCTCTCTGCGTATTTTTTTTTTCTGAATTATTTGTACTTTTTGGTCAACTTTGTACTTTTTGGGTTTAGAATAAAAATACAATATAATAGGATAAAATTATATATTTAAAGAAAAATATAGTCTAACTCCACCACAATTCTATGTTTAATTAAAATTGGGTATTCTTATGATGTCTGCTTTGACAAATGGAGATACAAATCTATATTGTAAATTTGCTATGAAAGTCGAGTTAGTTAAAATTGTTAATCAATATGAAAATTTTGATTGCATCCAATAGATCAAGTAGTTTAGATATAGGAATAGAATGTGTTAGAACCAAAGGGCCTGTAAGAATGGGGAGAAATGATAGTGCTTTGTCCCATACCTTTTGGAAGTTGAAAGTTCCAAGGAATTTTGTTTTAATTGTTGTTCTAAATATTGATTAACAACAACAGCATTCTCCAATCTGGAAGCCTCATAAAGCTCTCTCTTGATTTGTTTGATGTGTCTCCACTTTTTTGGAAGCAATAATCCCGTCTTTCTTTATTGTCCTTCAACATGGAGGTTGTGGTCTTGGCTGTTTTTCTTTGTTCAATGATATCTAATCGTCTCTGCATGGTGCGGGGCTAATTAAGCAGCATAAGAAAATTCAAAAGGTGGCTATCTTGTTGATTTCTGGGTCATTTGACTGGAACAAGATACTAGGATTTTAAGCATCAAGTGCAACCGTCTCTTGTCTTTGGGATAGAGTGGTTTTCTTTGCTTCCCTTTGGGCAAAGCTTATTGTTTCTTTCTGGGTATATCTATCATCTATGTAAAGGGATCAGGTGTCTATTTCTGTCCTAGTTTTTTTGTTTTGTTCATTTATAGCAGCTTCTCCTTTTTAATAATATTTTTTTTTTTTAATTTGAAAAAGAAATCACGGAAGTTGAAACATTGAGTTGAGGAATGGTTGGCAAGGCTGCAGTTCAACTTTGATTGGCTAAGGGCCCTCATGTTCATGACCTTTTTGCAACTAGGATTTGGAACAGTCAATGCTGGACTATGGTTGTAACTTGTAATTATGATTGAAGCTCAGGAATTCACATGTAAACATTTCATAGTTTTCTTCTGCTATACAAAAGGACAAGAGTTGTCTGATGATTTTGCTTGGAGTAATTACTGCCCCCAAGAAGACGTTTTTGTATTGTATAGTCCCATAAATCAGTCATAGACTACATTCACGATTGACTCATTTTATCCAGTTGTACACCATAACAGCAAATGCTACCTAATCAAATAGATTGCGAGTAAAAAAGAAAGGAGAAATATTGGGGAAATAAATATTAAGGAGAGGACAGCGAAATGGTAAGATCAACCTTAACGTAGGGGTTGTAGATAGATATTAAGAAAGATGTATAAGGAGAAGCCAAGCAAGAGTTTGCAAAAGTTTTATCATCCTATTTACAGCTCTACTTCGAGCCTATAGGAAGGCTTATGTGTTGGAAAACTGCCAGGAGTAATTTCTTTGAGAACATTTTGGCACTTGCTTCATTATTTTGATATGCTTGCAATGATGTGAGACCAAGAACTAGTAACCAATTCTTCTTTCTTTTTTCCTTGAGAAGAAAAAGAAGAATAGTATTACGAGGCACGAAGGGGGTGCCACCAACATAAAAGAGATATACAAATTAGAGCTGGTAACCAGTTCTTGCTAGACTAATTCACAATTTTACTTTGAGCAAGGATAAGTGATAAAAAGAAACATATATACTTTTTCCTTTTTTACCCTCCCCTTCAAAAAGTTTATCTTTCCTAATTTTTATCTTGATTTTTGTGGCACAATTTACTTTTTGACGTGCTTGGCATTAAACTGGTCATGTGATGCATTGGTATTTTATTGTGCATCTTTCACTATAACTTTACTTATGATCCAGGCAAACCAAAATCCACAACATAGGTGCAACTGTCATAGGTGTTGATAAGTTTGGCAACAAGTACTATGAGAAGCTTGGGGACACCCAATATGGTTAGTGTCTTTTGCTTGTTTTCCAGCTGCTGAGTTTCTCAGGAAGAAGAGTTGTATGAAGTGGAAATGGAACTATGATTATCTGACAATTATTAACTTGACATCCCACTTGTTTTAATTCACATCAAAATTTGTATCTATTTTGCTGACTTAATTACTACAATATGTTGATAAGTATAATTTGAACATAACTTGTTTGAATTAGCTTTGCCTCTTGAATTCCTTGGAGATGAATGCCTAAATTCACTTTTCCTGGGTCTAATACATCGAGAGGTAATTTCATTTAAACAGGAAAAAGTATTATCTAAGTTGTAGAAATTAGAAATCTCTCTCCACTG